CATAAGCATTACATCAAACATCCTATTTAGAATTTTGTTCGTGACATTCTCCCCTACTTATTCCTTCGACATCCTCGTCGAAGCCTTTGTCGACACTGCAACTCCTCGCCTTTGCTGAGTCTTTAATCTTCTGCTCCAGCTGCAGTGCGCCTCTTGGCTCCTAACTGCTCTCTACTACTATTATTGAGTAGTTGAACTTTTGATCCGCCATGCTGCTTCAACTCGCCAATGACTCTGACTCTAATGTAGGGTTGGCTGAGTTGTGTTGATCCATGTTGGTTCCTGTTGATCCTTCATATGAAGGAAAAGACAATCCTTACTATGTGCCAGTCTCCCAAATGTCTCATGCTGCTTGAACCGAGTGGATGCTTATTGGAGCTTTAACGAACATCGCCTCGTAAACTTTTGAAGTTTTGGGTCCTTCCTCCACTAAATTTGCCCATCGACTCTTCTTTTACTTAGTTGTCATTTCCAAGTAGATTCGCATCACTTCCGCTTTTGATTGGCATTCTATTGGGAAATGAAGCGGATAATCTACTCTCAATAGCACTGATCATCATTGGTGAGGATTTGACAACTATTGTCTTCCATTATCTTCGAAGGGTCTTTGAACCTGTGCAGAGCTCCTCTGCTGGATAGATAAGAGAATTGGGGTACTCGGTTTCACCCATTCTCCTAAGAGTTGAGAAGGCAAAGGTTACTTGACTTCGCCCGCCTTCTCGAGGGTTGTACTCCATGCATCGAGCTAGTTATTGGCTTGCGCCTGCTCTTTGCTCACACTTCTAAAGCACTTGAAGTGTTTGCACTCCTTGCGTTGAGTTAGCTACTGTGATTCATCTTCTCAATGCTATCGAACTTCTGGAATGCAGGAAGTTTTCACCCCAACTTGGAGTAAGTCTCTAATAGTTTTGGCCGCCTCTGGGATTGTACCGTCTTCTCCACCTACCGTCTACTCCACTGAGTATCAAAAGTATAGCACGACGTACTGCTTGCTTCGTACTTTGGTCATGCACTCTTGCACTATCCGAAGTCCTTCACTTTCGGCTATCTTGATGAGAAGCTCGTTGACATCGGTCTTATGAAGTTCCTTGGCCTCTGCTCTTCAGCCTTGTCACGGTACTTAGAGTTTGCCTCTGCATGCTCCACCTCCTCGGCCCCTTTCACGACCAAGCGCTCTCCCTCCATGAGAGCAAGGGATCGATGACTTCACGGAAGTCCCGCCTTTGTGGTACCATGGCGCTACCATGCCTATGGCCCTATTATCCGTCGCCTCGCATCTGCATCCATTTTCTTCACGATCAGTAGATATGTCTCTGTGGCACTCCTCCAAGTCCACCTCCATTCTACCTGATGCTTGGTTTTGGGTAGCTAAGTCCCCCTAGGCTCATCGTCGCTTCCTCGCCTCTTTCGACCTCCTGCTTCAACACCTATGTGTTCTCCAAGCAGTTTCCTTTGTTCGATGGAAAGACAAACTGCAACTCCCATGCATGGCCTCTGCCATCATGTTATAGGGTTTGCATCGATTCTGTTCTCCTTAGCTTCCTTGGTAGCAACATTCGCTTACTCGACCTTGTACTTTAACTTGTCGGGCTCCCTTAAGCGAATATAGGTTCTGGAGTAGTCTAACTCTCCAACTTCTTCGATCATACCTTTGCATGATCAAGTATCTCCCATGGGACTCACTAGTATTTGCATTTGAACTTTTTCCTCGGTGGTACACAGCCCCCATATGCTGATGACCAAGGCTTTCATCCGATGCAAAATTTGATGCACGCACGGAAGACCCACCTCTGCGGTACCATGACCTTCACTCCTTGAATCCATAGCCCTTCTTGTCGTCGTATTGTTCACCGAAGTGGAGCTCCCAGTAGCTCTCGATCATACCTCTGTATGATATAGTCCCTCACGGGGCAATATTCGTGTGTATCACATTGCCACGAACTGTTCCACTACGATCTGGTGCACTATGTCGCCTTCTGGTGACATCTTCATTGCATTCTGATCCTTGTGGAATGAACTCGGTTTGTGATCCCATTATGTGTGGCCTCTACCAATACATCGTAGGGCCTCTTCCACCTTCGATTGTGTTTGCTCATTTAACAATCGACCTTCGTTCGCCTCCTCTTGGATCACACCTAGACGAAGCACCGCTCTAAGACAGTCCGTCGCCTAGTAGCTCCCGAAGTCCACCGACTTCGCTAAAATTGGTATATCATTGTCTGGATCCTGGGCCTCTGCCCCTACCAGCACAATCTCCGCTGTGCACTACTTCCTTCATGGCAATGTGAATGGCAGCACTATAATATATTCTTCAAGAGTACCCGCCTCTGCGTCCTCTTGCCTCGTGCCAAGGCCTTCTGAACCCAACTTCGCCTCTGCAAGTTGAGTCGCCTCAGTTCCTCCGTCAAATACTTCTATGAGGTAAGGTGCATGTGTCTCGAAGCTCCCTTCATCTTTGGCACCATGCAGGATGAGCCCGCTCTATCAGAATAAGAGACCCATGGAACAACATGATCTCGCTCTTGCATCTGCAAGAGTTCATGTCCTTGACCTTTGTCCAAGGAAAGCTCTGTGCCTCCGCTCCATGTTCTATCTTCTATGCCGGCTCCCTTCATGCGGCTTGGGAACTTCGTCAAGTTACACCCAAGTTGCTCCGCTCCTCGTTTTGTATTGAGTTGATGGTGGCCCTAGCGCCCACCATTCCACAGGTCAGCCCTCCCTTGAGTCTGATCTCCATATCGACTTCAAGTGTGCCTTCATTTGTGTTGCTTTGGGTCGCTTCCCCACTTGATCTCATAATGCATCCACCAATGCATTCTCTCAAGCGAGATCATGCGATGACTCCTCGCCACTCGCTCGGTCCATTGAGCTTCGTGGAGTTGTTTTTTTTTTTTTTTGAGGTACTCTTCCTCAACATGTGCGGTCCGTTGCACATAATTCTCCCTCTGTAGAGTCGGGACTTATCCCTCCTAGATATCTGTCCCGTTAGAGCAACTTCTATCTTCGCTTCCATCTTTCTAAAAGTTTTGGAGACCATCATCCCGTTGGACTACTCCGCTTTGCTGAACAAACTATGCATTGTTTTGCCTCCCGCAAACGCACTTGCTAGATTGCGACTCCACGTCAATATAGTTCCCGCTGCACCACTTAAGACCTAGCAACATACTGAACTTGCTGCACACTTCAGCCTCCTACGGACGTATCCTTCTCATACTGAAGAGAAAGTTTCAATGCTCCATGGCATCGAGTTTCGGCCGTTTAAGCCATGAACACACCATCGTTCGTATACAAGCCTTTGCATAAGTACTAAATTCTTCGAGTTAGCAATTCCCCTCACCTCTGTGAGCTTTGCATAACTCTTTCGGTCGTTGAATAACCCATTCCACCTTACATGGTCTCATCCTTTACTAAATGTCTCGCTTGCCTTGAGCACCATCAAGTATGATTGCCAACATTGAGCCGTAGCTCAAACTCAATCATCCCAACCTTTGTGTGCTACGCATTCTTCCCAGCTTGCTTGTCCTCATGGTGTCTCTTGCTCGAAGGGTTGGCCATTCATCTGAATGTCAATCTCAAATGCCCGCTCCTCTGAGCGACTCCTTTTCCCTATATCTCCATGCTCACTTTCCCCCAAACGGTCACGCATACTGGTTGTTCTCAACGTAGCCCCGCCAGGTCCCCCACGTTTGCATACCAATTGTTTCTATGAGTGCTTGTCCCGCTCTGATACCATCTTTCACGGACTTAGCAAGTTTTGCCTAAGTCGTGCGGCACCCTTGCGTGTCCGTCCCCAAAGGTTATCTCCCTAAAACCTCCCATTGTCCCTTAGGACCTACAAAAGAGAAAACAGGTTAGGGAAAACGCCTCACTCGGGATCCACAAGCAAACATTTCAGTAAACACTACATAGACAATGCAAATTACAAACAAACTTTACAAGCTCTAAACGGTTGCATAACAAAAGGTCAAAATGGTCCACTACAGACTGAATATCTCTCACAAGTATCCACATGACACAATCTTTATTTACAAGCCTAAAATGATCACCAAACCCAATTAAAATGGGGCTATTAAGCCTTCGACCGTCCCTCTATATGTTGTGCAAAGCATGAACAAATCAAAAGACACGGACATACATAAGCATTATATCAAACATCATGTTTAGAATTTTGTCTGTGACAGTGTGTTGGTATGCCGACATATACCAGACCCATTCTGGTCCGGACAAGGACTGGCATGGGTCCAGTATCCAAGACATCAAACTATGATCTTGAAAATCAGTAGCTTAGGCTATCAAGCTAAAATTGGTACATCAGAGATGACTTCCATCATAAGGATAAGGTAGTTAAGTCTTGATAAAAGTGTTTGGAGTTGAACACTAGGAAAAAAAATTCTAAAAGATGAGATAGGTCCTTATTTATCACATCCTAGAAATCGTGGAAGAAAGCTAGTATCAAAATGATGGTCATGCGTTTGTTCAGTTTCATTTGAGGCTAGTTTTTCATGGACTGCAACCTGTATACTCATATGATGTTGCACTTTTGACTGCAGGACATGTGCATGTGTGCGTGCATGTGCATGCATCTTTTCTCCACTTCAGTGCACAAGAGATTCTTATGATTGTGATTGATGCAACTGAGTTTTAATATATTAGGTAGATTAGGACTCAATTGGGTCTTCATCCGAGTCCTCAACTAAGTTTCTATTTTTTGAGAATTACTTTACCTTTATTAAGTATCTGAAATAATCCAGATTCTATGAATTGGCTGTTTCCCAAGCTAGGTTGGTATCTTGGGAAGTTCAGACTAGGTAAGTTCAATCTTATTATTTTATTTTATTTTCTGTTTGAAGTGTTTCTAGATTCTTCTGCTTCGAAGCATCCCTTATGCTTTTTGTTTAATTTTTTGTATTCGCAAGGTGATAGTATTTTCTGTTTGTTTTATAGTTGTCCTTCTCCATATTGTTCTTTTGTGTTGATTTCGACATTAATAACATGTTTAGGTTGAGGATGACCTGAAAGAAGGGATTTTGGGTTCAGTACCTGTTCCATCTGATGATGCTGGAAAAGATGAGGTGATTGATTCTTTAGTAACTAATGTTGAGGCCATGATAAGAGCTGACAGAAAAATTACCTCTCTTAAACAATTGCAGGTAACAGAACTGGACTTTGTGCAATTACAGAAGGAATTATTATAACTTAAAAACTTTCTCTTCCCTTCATTTCTACGTGCAGGGTCATATATGGAGGACTGGATTTGAGAACAAAGAATTGCAAGGAGTTGTTTATGAGGATGTTCCAGAAGCACTTCTGAAGTGGCATGCTAATGGCATAAAGGTGATAATATCGTCTCTTTTTTCAGATTTTTACATATGCAATCTATACCATCCAAATGAGTCAGTTGTCTGTGCTGCTAACTGTGGTCTTTTGGAATATGGGTTTAACTTCAAAGAATAATGTAGCAGAGAAAAAATTGGCTATGATAGTATATATAAAAGAAGTTCATAGCATAACTTATCCATGCATCTTCAACTATTGTTTAACAATTTAACTTGGAATTTTAATTTTGTTTCTATTACATGTTTGACATCAAATATAAGGAGAAAAATATTCATCTTTTTTATAGTTTTGCCTTTTTCTGAAGATTAAATTGGTATTTTCTCAGTTGTCAATAGAAGTTAGGACTAATAGATGATTACATGAATGTATACACTTTATGATGGCTAATTCCTTTTCTTTCATATATGAAACAGAATCAATTCTCAGCTACATGCACTTGATGGTAACACATGGCATGACAGTCATCTACTGCAAGAATTAGAGAGAAATGATAGTCATGGTTATTACTCTGTGAATGTTTTTTTAAAACATAATATGAAACATTCTAGTGAAAATTTTGTGTGGAGAACTAATGCAAGTGTACCTCCAACTAGCCTTTATAAAATGGATAATCATGGTCACTGCTACAGTATGCTGATTGACAAGCATAACATCACTAAGTTTTGATGGTATAGTGGCAAAGAGGGTTTGGTTGTGAGATTCATCTCCACTTTTCTTACAAATAGTATCTTTTTTAAATATTCTTATAATCTTCTAACTAAATGGCAAGAGGACTTTGTTTTGAGATTTATTTCCAATTTTCTTTTATAAATAGAATAGTGGGATATCATGGCTTGTTTTATGTTACGACACTTCTAGAATACTATGGCCAGTGGTACTTTTTAATGAATATTCTCGATGCAGGTTTACATATATTCAAGTGGTAGCAGAGAGGCTCAGAGACTTATATTTGGAAACACTTCTTATGGAGACTTACGAAAATACCTATGTGGATTTTTTGACACCACAGTTGGGTAAGGTTATAATTGGTGTCTATAGTGCTGATGTTCTATTAGAATTTTTAGCTACAGACTCATATAAAATCTTTTTGGTCTATAGAAATAAAAGAGAATCGCGGAGTTACTTTGAAATTTCTGTGTCAGTGGGAGTCGATGAACCTTCTCAAGTCCTGTTTGTAACTGATGTCTATGCAGAAGCTGTGGCAGCAAAGGCTGCAGGTAAATGCATTAGTGTTATTTCCATTGTTGGTTTGAGTCTGTTTTTCTTGTAGTTTGTTGATTGCTAAAGTATAAATGGATATAGATTTATCCTTTGGCAATTCTTAGTTTCATTGTCTTAACTCTTATCTGTTTTGTTCGAAACTTCAACTGTTAGATGATACTGGGGACAGCATAATCTTACTCGAATCCTAATACCCTTATAGGTTGCATTGGCATCTCTAAGTCTTTCTTAGCGGACAATATTTGATCTTAGGGCTATAAAGTAGTGATCCCACTTTATGGCATGCTCTTTTTTTTGTACTATAGGGGCACTTAAAGTGAAATCAGACTGGTTATTTTTGTCAGCATCATATACATAACACAATCATCATAGTATCGAGGTCATCAGATGAGATGGATAGCAATAAATAGCTCCTCAACGTCTCATGTGTTGAATCTCATATAGATAGCAATAAAGAGGATCATTCTATCGTTCATCCTCTTATGTTCAATAGGACGGAACAAAATTTATGTACACCTAATTTATGATAAAGGAATAAAATTTAGATTTAAATCTAATGCTTATACACCTAATAAGATTAACCGTATGTATGTTTTAAGAAGCAATAATATGTATCTTTATGATTTTCGTATTACTTTTCGATTTTAAATGGTGATGCATAGCTTTTGTACAGAAGACTAGAGCATGAAATCAATCACAAAATTTGGAACTAAAAGAACTTTAGCTACTTTTAATCTTATAGGAATCAATCTACGTTACTTTTAATAAATTTCCCGAATGAAAGAAAAGTGATTTCGATGATAATTTTGGATTTGATAATTTGTTTTCATATTTATCCAAACACTTGATTTATTTGACATGAGCTTCGTTCTCATATGATTTTATCTTCTAAGAGAAGATTTATCTAAATGAATCTTAATTCTATGACATTAATGATTTGAGATTTATTTTATGTGAATCAAGATATCTTATTTGATCTCCTATGATTCTATTCACTATTTACTAAAGAGAATATCGTTTTCGGAATTCATGACTTAAGATTTTCCTTACTATTTGATCTTATAAGATTTATTTTTGATTATTTAAGAGGATATTTGTTAAAATAATTCATGTCTTTTAGTATTCACATAATCTTTGATATTATCTTTCATGACATGATTTTCATTATGAATAATTCCTTTATATTTATGATTGTAAACCTTATGTTATGAGTAGAGTATTAATGTAAAGGAAAATGAATTGCACCATTATATAATTCCCCTCTTCTTCTTTTTGACAATAATAAAGGGGGAGAAAGTATTGCTAGCTTACACATTTCAAGGAGAAAACTTGCTAGTTTGCACATTTCAAATAGAAGAAAACTTGCTAGCTTGCATGTTCTAAATTGATGTAAAACTTGCTAAAATTGTTAGCTTGCTCATCTCAAAAGAGAAGCAAAGTTTGCTAGTTTGTACATTTCAAAAAGATGCAAAAACAAGCTATCTTGCACATCTCAAAAAATACAAAAATTTTACTAACTTTCATATGTGAAAAACTTGCTAACTTGCATGATCAAAATTTGTTATCTTACTAGCTTGCATATCTAAAAATTTGCTAGTTGTACTTTTTCTTTTTGTTGATGATAAAGGGGGAGAAGGTATGGTGATTATCATGCATATTATGCCTAAAATAATGATTTGAAATTATGCATGATGATTTGGAATCATGCATATAATGATGATTTTGAAAATATATATGATGAATTGGTATTATACATGCAATACTCATAATTTTAAGATGCATGCAATGATGTGATTAATTGGTTCTTTCAATATTCATGATGCATGCAATGATGAAATAGTCATAATTTTCTGAATTCAAAGTTTTTATCAATATGACATATTGATGGGGGAGTTCGGTGTACACACCGTCATCAATTGGTTGTCATCATAAAAAAAAAAAAGGGAGATTATTGAATCTCATATTTTGATGATGAAATCAATTAATGAGTTCACGATCTAATCTGCGTTTTGAGTGACGTAGGACCAACTTCGATCAGAAAAGGCAAATCGATTAAAGCAGGAGGAATCGAACATTGGGCCGGAGTGAAACATGTTAGAAGATTGGACGTCGAGTTGGAGGATCAGTCGACGTATCGGCAAAAGGCTTCATACCATGAGTTCGGGCATCGGGTCAGAAGGATCGGACATTGTGCCAAGGAGATCGGATATTGCAGAGGTCAACATGCTAATTGGGCAATATGCCGCAAGAAAGGACGATGTGCCGAAAGGATCGGACGAAGTATCGAATGAACCAATGATATGCCGGACAACATAGGATTCATACTTATAATTATGTGTGTCAAGATCGAGTTAGTTAGGTATAATTGAGTTGGTTTTAGGTGTAACCATGCCAACTTGATTAGGGCCAATTTGGCCTGAATCAGGGCTGAATTGGGCCTACTATTTGGCTAATTCAGTGTCCTATAGCTGGGTCTGGTGGTGGTACTGCCAGTACCTCGAAATCCCAGGGATTCAAATTTTTGGCTCCAATTTTTGAAGTCATTTGGGGTCTATAAATACCCCAATCTTTTCTGATTGAAAAAACACGAAAAGCATAACAAAACTTTGTAATTCTAAGGTTGCAATCCTGGTTAGAAAGTTAAGTTCCCTCTTCTGTCTACTTAGAGGTTGATGTAAGGGAGAGTGTGAGGGAATACTTGCAATACAGGGGTGTAAAGATTCTCTCCTAAACCCGTAAAAAAGAGAAAGTTGTAAGGGTAGTTGATCTTCACCCGTTGGAAAGAAGATCGGTAGTGAAAGCCGGTGGCCTCGAGTGAAGAGGAATCGAGAGTGGACGTAGGTCGAGACGACCGAACCACTATAAAACTCGATTTGTATTTCTTTTATGCTTTTTATTTATATTAAAAATTAATTTACTTACTTACTATTTTTATTATGCTTACGAACGTGCACTCTAAGTCAAGCTCATTTCCGATATCGACTTTTATCGAATGAGATTTTTGAATCAACGTAAAGTTTTATGATAGCAATAATTCACCCCCGCTCTTAGTGCCCATTCACAATCCTAACATGAAGAAAAAACCTTTTATTTGGCTTCGGTCAGTTGTAATCCTATGTTGGCTTTGTTACATAAAAACTTTGTGACCCAAGCTAGAAACCACATAGCCCTTGCCCCTTGCGTCCCAAAAGAGTGTTCAAGTATTACTCTCACAGGAGGATGATAACACATGTGGCATCTTATGTTATAATTGTCATCTTATTTGACTGTAGATAGGTGCTGGTAGAGAGAAAGAAGTGGCAAGTGCATAACTGGTGCACACTTTACTACTTACCGGGTGTAAAATTCATGCTGTCCATCCCACAAGCTACAATACTTGTTCAGATTGCCTTTTTCTGAATCTTGCCGATGGAGCCTATGAATACTGAATAATCTTGCATGCAGAAGAATGATCTATGTTCCTCTTGAACACTGAATTTAAACCAGCACATCAGAAGACCAACTTCTTAGGAGTAAAGAAAGAAGACAAATTATTATGAGATGCAAACTGTAGTATAATTAGAATGAAGATTTTCAATCGAGATGTCTTGTTGATGCCTCATATCTGATAGCTGTGTTCGCTGTTTCATTCTAGGTCTCCAAGTGTTGATCTCCGTTCGTCCTGGAAATGCACCTCTTCCCGAGAATCACGGATTTAAAACAATAAAATCCTTTGCCGATATCCAATGACTTGAGATTTATTCATTTTCCTGGCTTCCTGGTAATGGAACATAAGTGAATCGTTCCATCTTTGGAGGAAGTTCCTACTCAATTTCCAGGTAAAATTATCAAGAAAAAACCAATTACCATTCACATTATTATGATCAAGAATCCTTACGAGGTCAATAAGGACAGAGATCTTACATTGTTGGAAGTCAAGAAAGGCGGCAAGCGTGTTCTTGTTTTACAGGCTCTTTTGAAGGACAAAATCATGTGGCTTTTGAGTCAAATGGAGAGCAACCAAATGGGCAATATCTTAATAATGCTGCTTGATGCCTCTTTACAATTAGTGATCCCTAAACTTTTATGTATGTATTTGTCATATACACTATCTGTTCAGGTATGCATGAATACTTATGAATAATTTATTTTCATTTTCTATATATTCTTTTTTCACTTAGCGACAAAATGTCCAATCTGAATGAGAAGGTTGAGAGTATATCAAACCTGAAATGGATACTTCAAATAGTAGCAAAGTTTTACAAGAAAATATTAAGAAAATTAAATCTCCAAAGTAACCACTGTTTGCTACTGTCAGCTTCTTGTTTGATGCTCTATATGCCAGTTGGCTGCTTTGATGCCCCTACGCCTAAGCCTCCAAGGATCAAAATTGTGGTGTTGTCTCAATTCATAGAGCGTGCAGTGATAACGAGCAAGCAATGTGGGACTAATGGATTGGAAGCTGCTGCTCTTTTAACACCTTCCCATACATACTCTTAAAGTGACAAAACAGAAAATAGAGCTATAACATAATCAAGAAGGGAAGTCTCATCAAATAAGACCAGGGATGGATAGGAACAGGATCCTTCTCTGCTGCTCTAATTCCCCACCAAATGCCATCATGATTTGGATCCTCAAATAACTTCTTCCCCATGACTAGGGCATTGCATAGAGAGGAGTGCACTGTGGCAAATCGAGAATCGATGATTTTGCGAGCTCCGGAGGATTCAGATTACAGTTCACAAATAACAAGCTAAACAGCATCAGAAGTTTGAAACTAACTATTATTATACTAGATTAGCAGGCTTACGATTCGTGATTTGGCCACAAAAACCATAGATAAGATAAACACCATCCAACTTCAAGATTGAAACTAAATTAATACAAATGATATAAAGATTGTGATCAAATGAATCCTAGCAGATAGACACCCTAGTTTTCTTGAATCTGTGGAGTTTGGTGTGCCAATTCGGAGAACTCCATGGTTCCACATGTTTTCACAACTTGGTTTTTCCTAGATGCATGCTATCTTTGCTTTGTGATGTCATCCCAGATATGCAAGGAAATGATTCTCGTTGACACTGGTAATGCCAATCAAATTCAATGTTAGGCATATAATTCCATCCGGGAAGGGTACACAAGATCCATGGGGTTGAGACCCTTGATAGGTTGTCTAACAATTCTACTTGAGGCCGCTACTCGGTGACACCCTAGTCATAAGGTCTACTTGGGGCCCGAGGACACGGATGGTGGTGGCGGCAGCAACAGCGTCGACGTCCCCAATGTTAGCATAAAATCTATAATCATGCTATCTATAATGCGGAAAAACTTTTATACCAAGATTGAAATCAAATAATTGGATCTAACAATATTACGATGCATACCTTTCTTGTTGTTCAGAAGAAATAAACCTTATCTGATCTACAAGTGCTCCATCATCGGATCTGAAATATCAATCTGCAAGGATCTGCAAAAAGAACTAAATCCTTCTCCTCTCTTCTGAACAACAAGAGAAAAACCTTAATCTCTCAATTGACTCAGATACTACTCAGATGCGCACTTGACCCTATCTATCAGATGTGCACAGATGATATTTTTAGCCCCTAGAGGTCCTGTCTATTTATAGGCGAGAGCAGAGGGTCTAGGATAAGTTATTAGGAGAGTTCCTTCCATCAAGGTTATCTCATAAAGAATCCTACTTTAATATAGACTTCTTTTCTATTAGCCAATAACCATAATCAGAATCCAATAATATCTATAATATATCTTACCTAATTAAAAAGGGCCACATAAACTAACATTCTCCCACTTGGCCCAATAATTGGTAAGATACAAAAAGACTTAAAAATGAAAAATAAATAAACAAAATTTATTTAAAAATAATTTGACTCAATTGGATTCTGAAATTTTTGAAAAACTATATACACGCTGTCACGACCCCCCGAATTATCACATTCAGGAGGTGTGACCCTGTCTAAAATCAATAATATTATAATTCATCATCAATTCAATCCAGGATCCAATCTAACAATTTGAGGATACTAAGAATCATTCAAATC